ACTGTATGAGGACGCAGACGCCGATGAGGAGGACGGAGGCCACCACGGAGACCACCAGGAGGGCGGTGATGGTCTGCTTCTTCTGGTTGGCGGCCACCACGGCCAGCAGGTCGGCGTGCTCGCAGCGCGTCCCCACGTAGCCGGAGTGGCACCTGCGGTGGGGAGAAGGTTATGGGGGGGACAAACAGATATGGGGGGGCATCAGCATCGTGTGAGGATTGGGGGGGGAAAAAGCATCAACATCGGCCCAAAAGGGGTTGGGGAGATGACTTTCATCCAAAGGACCAGGGGTGGAAGAGAAGACCATCAGCCTGAGGACCAAGGGTGGAAAAAGGGACATCAACCTGAGGACCAGGGTTTGGGAGAAGGACATTGGCCCAAGGACCAGGGGTGGAGGAGAATGACATCAGCCTGAGGACCAAGGGTGGAAGAGATCATCGGCCCAAGAACCAAGGGTGGAGAAAGGGACATCAGCCTGAGGACCAGGGCTTGGGAGAAGACCATCAACCCAAGAACCAGGGGTGAGGAGAAGGACATCAACCCAAGGACCAGGGTGGGGAGAAGACCATCGGCCCAAAGATCGGGGTCGGGGAGAAGACCTTCAGCCTGAGGACTGGGGTGGAGGAGAAGGACATTGGCCCGAGGACCAAGGATCGGGAAGAAGAACATCGGCCTGAGAACATCTTGGGAGAAGACCATCAACCCGAGGACGAGGGGTGAGGAGAAGGACATCAACCCAAGGACCAGGGAGGAGAGAGGACCATCAGCCCGAGGACCAGGGGTGAAGGAGAAGGACATCAGCCCAAGGACCAGGCTGGGCAGAAGGACAGCAGCCTGAGGACCAGGGGTGGAAGAGAAGACCATCAGCCCGAGGACCAGGGCTTGGGAGAAGGAAATCAACCCAAGGACCAGGGGTGGGGAGAAGGGCACTGGCCCAAGGACCAGGGAGGAGAAGACCATCAGCCCGAGGACCAGGGGTGGAGGACAAGGACATTGGCCCGAGGACCAAGGATTGGGGAGAAGAACATCGGCCTGAGAACATCTTGGGAGAAGACCATCAACCTGAGGACCAGGGATGGGAGGAGAAGGACATCAGTCTGAGGACCAGGGGTGGGGAGAAAACGTCAGCCCGAGGACCAGGGATCGGGGAGAAGAACATCAGCCCAAGGACCAAGGGTGGGGAGAAGAACATCAGCCCGAGGACCAGGGAGGGGAGGAGAAGACCATCAACTTGAGGACCAGGGAGGGGAGGAGAAGACCATTGACACAAGGACTGGGGAGAAGAACATCAGCCTGAGAACATTTTGGGAGAAGACCATCAACCCAAGGCCCGGGGACGGGAGGAGAAGACCATCAACGTGAGGAGCAGAGCACAGAAGGGCAGGTTGAACCCCAGGTTGGTGTCCCCCAACGCTCACACGCAGGCCGGCTTGTCCTCCTGCACCAGGAACCGGCAGGTCCCGTGGAAGCAGAACTGGCTGTGGGAGTCGGGACAATCGTTGAAGTGGGACCTCACCGCCGCCGCCACCGGTGGGCCCGGAGCTGCCAGAAGAGAGAAAAAACGAGGAGAAAAACCATCATTTTGGGGTCGGGGTGGAACCTATTTCTCAATTTCCAACACATTTTGGGGACTGGTTGGATTTCTTTGGGTGGTGGGTTCACATTTTGGGGGGGGCTTTGGGGTTCTTTCGGTGGTGGGTTCCCATCTTGGTGGCCTCGTCCCGCTTGGGCCTACCCAAAGGAACCGGGATGGGTTGAAAAATTCCAGGAAGGGATTTCCTAAAGAGCTTGAAAGCTTTAAACACAAAAAAACCAACCCAAAAAAAACCCCAAAAAGGGAAGGGGGAGGGCAAGGACTGGTTCCCATTAGGGCCT